TTCTGCTGTCTCCTTGAGGGACACAGGCTTGCCTTTCCTTAGGAGAGCGTTGCCAGGAGGGACAGTGTGCATGGGTACCACACTTTGAAGTCTACCATAGTACAGTCAACATATCTTTAATAAGGGCAGGATTGTCTAGAAAATCTGCAGGTAGGACTAGAAGCTAGGAGCCCTGGCTCTGGGTGGCTCCTGACTCAGTGTGTCATCTTGGGCAACTTGCTTCATCTCCAAAGGAGGACGGGATAATAGTACTTATTCCCTTCAATTGAATGAAATGAAGATTACCTGAAGTGATGAAGTGCTGTGAAGTTGAAGAAATAAAAGTTTTAAAGCATTAAGTAACAGAAATAATTGCAGTAAGTGTAGGGAGGCAGATTACATGTGAGAGATTTGGCACTCTCCATAATGCTCTAGTGCTTCTCCTTGGTACTATGCACTGCTCTGCCAGACACCGTCACCTTTCCTGCCCTTAAGGAAACACAGCTTTTTAAAGGAACAAGCAGTCCTTCTGCAGTACTCGTTATTCAGTTGGGGACAGTACAATAGTTTGTTTTGCTTGTGTTTGGCAGGGAAAACGTTGCCATCTTCAAAGCTGCGATGGTCTGTAGCACCCAGGAGGAGACAGGGAGGAACAAGCCCCTGTGCCTTCCTGGAGCGTTTTCAGCAAGCCACTGCTTTAATGTGGTGTACTGTACCACCTAGGGCCAAAATAGGAAACTACAGTGCTGTCTGAAACATTTCACTTGCAAAAGAAGCATATATATTTGTGTGTACACTAATATATGAAAAAAAAAATAAAAATCTGAGTTAGGGAGAAAAAAGGGACCTTAATGATTTTAATGCATTTTAGACAGTGGAAAATTGACTTTTGTTTCTCAGGAAACATAATTTCAGGCGGAGTTCTATTTCTCAGGAACTTAAAAGTGGAGAAAGCCTGAAAATCTCCTTAACAGTCAGGAAAAAAGGAAAGTTTGGATTATATGGGATTGTCATGGTTTAACCCCAGCTGGCAACTAAGCACCACACAGCCACTTGCTCACAGCAGGATGGGGGAAAGAATCAGGAAGGTAAAAGTGAGAAAACTTGTGGGTTGAGATAAAGGCAGTTTAATGGGTAAAGCAAAAGCTGTGCACACAAGCAAAGAGAACAAGGAATTCATTTACCACCTCCCATATGCAGGCAGGTGTTTGTCCACATCCAGAACAGCAAGGCTCCATGACGTGTAACGGTGACTTGGGAAGACAAATGCCATTACTCCTGAAAGTCCTCCCATTCCTTCTTCTTCCCCCATTTCTGTATGCTGAGCATGACGCCATATAGTGTGGAATGTCCCTGTGGTCAGTTGGGGTCAGCTGTCCTGGCTGTGTCCCCTCCCAACTCCTGGTGCACTTCCAGCCTCCTCACTGGTGGGGTGGGGTGATGAGCAGACAAGGCCTTTACACTGTATAAGTGCAAACACATCCCTGTGTTATCAACATCATTTTCCTCACAGATCCAAAGCATGGCCTTATACTTGCTACTATGAAGAAAATTATCCCTGCTGAAATAAGGGATCCTCTTACTTTGTTACAGTTTGAGATTTTGTTATTAAGTGTAAATTTTTAGCTATAACTTCTCCTGACTTAAAAATTGTTCTTTTGTTAAGTGTCTTTCCTGCTCAACTGAGACAGTTAGATGACACTGTGTGCTCCAGTGTTTAAAAATGTCCTCAAAAAGTCATCTTCCTACACTGTTTAATTCTGGAGGCTCTAAACCTTTGTAAAATACAAAATAGCAAATTATCTTAGGCTTATGCAGTCTCCTAAGCTCTGTATACTGAGTTAAATAATCATCACCATAAGATAATTCACCATAATTAACTAATCACTCAGCTGAATTTATTAAATGATGCTGTTATTTAAAAACCTAATCGCAAAATTAATTTCTGTAAATTGTTGTGAAATCCAAAAATGGCAAAGGTCAGCAAAAGACATAGGTGGATCCCTAAGATTGTTCTTGCTTGGTGTTATTTGTAGGTGCTAGGATTTTCATTTGAAAGCCTAACAATGTTAAAGATTAATACAATGTAGATAATAAATGTATAAGCTTTCTCTGCCTGTTACTTTTAAGTATTGAAGCTCATGCCTGAAGACCTTTAATCTCTTTAAGAAGGAGCAAGTTGAGGTGGCTAGCTACTGAGTAACTATAAGAAGCAGGTAAATGAGGTACTGCCCACATCAAAAAATGGGTAAATTGGTTTTGCTCAGGTTTAATCTTATTTGTGCATACCTGAGAGCTCCTTGTACAAATCTGTGGGCATTTGGTGTGAGTGGCCATCGAGCAGAACTGCCAGCAACTGAATGTGGGAGCTGGGAAGTGCCTTGTCAGCTTAATGCTGGGTGGTGTGGTGCTGGGGCTGGAAGTGTGTGCCAGGCCTGGTGGCTGGTTAGCTGTGGTGCCAATCCATATTGCCTGTGCCTGCTTTTGTCTTGCTCACAGGGTGAGAAGTGGGATGAGAAAACGGTGGAAAGAAGTCAAAAGTAGTTTTTTTAATCGTTAGACCAGTCTACCTTGTATTTTGAAACACAAAGCGAGAACAATATCAGGAAATATAAATAAAAATGCTGTCAGTTCTCATCTGATTTTCACTGATCTGAACACAGGGAAGTATTTTAACTGCCAAATGAAGGTTTGTAAGGAAAGGGACAAGGAGAGAGGAAGAAATAGCACTTTCCCTCAGTGTAAGTCACCCCAGATTGTTCATGGTAGTTGTATCATGTTATTTCTTAAATCTACTTCTTGGGAGAAAAAAGGTCAGGGGTATATTTTCCTTCTGCAACACTTTCTTCTCCTCTCAACCCCTGGACATCACCCCTGGGATAGAGATCTTACTGGGGGTTGGCTACTGCCAAATGATTTATTCAGCCTGCTTCTCTATCCAGAGGAAACATTAGGGAAGGGGGTAGATACAGGTAGTCTGTGTGACATACTGTCACAGAAACCATGTTGTTACACATCCTTACATCCTAAGGATCTCACAGCCTCAGAGTTCAACTGCATCCCAGGCTGCTGCCTTACGTAGTTATCCCAGAGTGGGGATAGCCTTGGGTTCCTTTGGTCTGATCCTCTTCGTGTGACTGTCCCAGTGCCCTGGCACACTCTATGGGTTCCCTGTAGCAGCTGCAGTGCCTCCTGTGCTGGGATTTAGGCATCAGCAGTAGAAATAAACAGGCAACTCCTCACTTCCAGCAAGTTGTTTCTGTTATGCATGTCTGGTACCAGATCTGGGTGCCTTGGCTAAGTGGGCAGACCCCGTTCCATCACCATGCAAGGAGTTCTCTATATGCTGCACCATCTCCCTTGGTTCTTCTTACTCTCCTGTCTTTGGGGAGATGGGCCCTAGGATGGGAGCTGTCAATTTGACTTCCACATCAGGAACTCCTTTTCATAAGGGAGTTTAACTAATGTGAGTGGTGGGAGTAGATTTTATTTCATTCTGGGTTGGGTCATCGATTTTGCCTTTTTTCCGCTCTTCTGAGCCTGAACACATTAAAGGTGAGACCAAGACAGTTGCACTAAGCATAAAGCTACACACTGTTGTGTTTTTCAAACCGTGCTCTTGGGCTGTGTGTGGCCTGTAATTCAGGGGCAGTTAATTAAGAACTTCAGCTTTGACTAATATGTCTTACTAATAGTTGGAACAGGCTTGGAGCCTGTTGGGTCAACTGCTGATAACCTGATTGTCTTTAATTGTGCAGACATACCCTCAGATATTTCAAAGTGAGGGCATCTGGGTGATGGAAAAATGGAAAGGAAGGTGGCTAGAAGTATGTATATACATGTATATATAGTTGGTTACAATTTTTTCTGTTGACAAAACTTGTCTAGGCACTGAAATACATGGATCTGCATAAGATTTCTTTCATATCAGGCCCTTTGCAAAGGAGGATACTTGGAAAAGTTGTAAATAATTGCAATTGTCAGTCTCCCTCTATCTCTGCTCTCTAAAGCTACAGAAGAGAATTGTACCAGCTTTGTTATTCAAAGCATTTCCCTTAACAGCTGAATCCTGTGGGAGATTCCTCTTAGAGCAGCTTTCCTCTGCGGTGGACTCTCCTGACAAGATCACAGACGGCTTTTGGTCTCCAAGTGTCATGATGAACATCTAGTTGGGTCTATTTTTATATCTGAAATATGTTGAAAGATGCTATGGTGAGAAGAAGCAGTACAGTACTCTATACATGGTAATGCTTTTGGGGACAGTATGCATTTTCCTTCCAGTTTTTGAAATTTCTTTTGTCTGTAAAACTTGAATTAGCATCAAGAAAAGAGTCATGACCATTTTGATTTTCTCTTTGTGTACCAAGATTGAAGTTGTGTGCCTTATAGTTGCTCTGATGTGTCCTTTCCTGCTTCAAAATTTTCCAATAAAATACATTCTTTACAGGAGTTACTTCTACTCTAAACGATTAATTAAGAAAAATAATGGTACACCTTAAGCTGTTTTCCTTTACTGACATACTGTTCTTCACCCTTTTATCTGCCATGAGTGCTGGTACAGTGTCAAAACAGCGTTTGGAGGCATGAGGAAGAAAATACTTTGGCCTGAGAAGGTACTTGGAGAAGTGGTTGAAGAGGGGAACTGGCAGCTGAAACTTCAGCTCCTTGACTATCCTTTATGATGGGAATTGAGCAGCTGACAGTGTTACCAGGGTTTAGCGTGACTGTTGCTTCCCTGGGATTAGAGATACCAGGTTTTGTTGTGAACTGTTTTGCCTCTGGTGTGTAATTGGGATCCTGGCTGGCAGGTCAGCTTTGTCAGACCTGCCAACCTTACTGATGTGGCCTCATCATGGGTTGGAGGTGACAGGTACCCGTTCAGCCCACAGGTGCTGAAGTATCTCCTGTCATCTCTGCTCGTTGCCACATTCTCGTACCTGCAACCAGTTTGCTGCTTCCATATTGAGGCAGGATGGTGATGTGATCTATTAATTTTTCCTCTGTTTTCTTCCACATTTCAGGAAGGGTGCTTGTGGCCTTCAGAAAGCTCAGTTTCGCGCCAGGGTGCTTCAGAGGTACTGACAGATTTCTGACTATCTTCACCAATGTACTTTCCCTTTTTCCTGTAATATGTATTTAGTTCCTTTCAAAAACATGCATCTGTTTTGTAAAGAAAGCTTTTTCAGTGCAGTTCACGTAGTTGTGTGAGCCTGCCTTAACTCCCATTTCATAAATGCCTGAGACCTTTTCATTAAAACAGTGAAATTCTGCCTACCTGACACCTCATCTCCATCAGCAGCTACCTGTGTCATGTAGGTATTCACAAGTAAGTGGTGGAGGTGTGTCTCTTTCATGCAGTGGCTCAGCAATTTGAGATCCATTGGGAGCTGGGAGACTAGTTGCTCTTGTCCCAGAATTTTTCTTGGATTTACAACACATATCCTGTCACCGGTGTCTCCTGTCTTCTTCCAGCTGGTTCATATCCCTGGTCTGTGTAATAATTTGTGGGTGTATTGCTCTGAGTGGTCCAGCTGTCCTGTGACAAACAGCAGAACTTCCTCACAGTTAGTCCTACATGTGTGAGGGTCATGGGCTGAGAACCGGCTTGGATCCAAAAAAGAGAAGAGCAGTTTGGTAGATCTGGATCTGAGAGGCTAATGTGTCTATGTGGATCTGGGATAGACCAAGTGAGGAGCAGTAACACCTCACAGAATTCTTGAACTTTTCCTTTTGTAAAGCCTGATTTTCTCCAGGGTTTAATATACCAGGGGCATTTTTTGCATTCACAGTGCAGAAGCTTTGTAGGTCCTCCTCAAGGGCTGAGTACTGGCTGAGAACTGAGGGGGAGGAGGACACCTGATACACTCTGGTATTGAAGGCATGAGCTATGCTGGGCCTTTACAAAATGTACTAAAATGACCATCTGAATTCTTTGGTGATGTGTAGGGTATTACATTAACTCGGAGTAGGAGATGGAGGCTCAGACTGCAGCTGAAATTCAGTAATGGGACATTGTTGTAAAACTAGTCAATTGTCAAGACTAGAGAGAATTTGTTTCCTCTGTTCAGAAACAGAATAATTTGCTTTTGCTTTGGATGTTTTAATGTCAGAAGGTGTGTTGGGTCTTGGTCTTCCTTTGTGAAGCTGTTCTCAAGTGTGTTAGCTCCTTCCTGCACCTTCTACCTATTCTCATGCATGCATGTGGGAGCATGTGTGCACAGCATCTGCTGGGTTTAATCTCTAAGATGGGTGGCAAAGAGAAGCATTCTCCGTTTCATTGGTTCTTTGTAAATGTGGAGCAACCACAGCGCTTTGCTCAGAGGTGGAGTCACGTGTGTCTCTCTTCCTATTTCAGATCATGTATGCTCCAAGGTCCAGGGACAGGTTTACCACCCCATCTTTTATGCAGCGGGACCGTTTCAGTCGCTTCCAGCCCACTTACCCTTACATGCAGCATGAGATTGACCTCCCTCCAACCATCTCCCTCTCTGACGGGGAAGAGCCTCCGCCGTACCAAGGTCCATGCACCCTGCAGCTCCGGGACCCAGAACAGCAGATGGAGCTCAACCGGGAATCCGTCAGGGCACCACCCAACCGAACCATTTTTGATAGCGATTTGATAGACATCTCGATGTACAATGGGGGCCCCTGCCCACCAAGCAGCAATTCGGGCATAAGTGCAACCAACTATAGCAGTAATGGAAGGATGGAAGGACCACCCCCGACGTACAGCGAGGTCATGGGGCATTACCCAGGCTCCTCTTTTTTCCATCACCAGCACAGCAACGTGCCTCCTTCCTCGCAGAGGGGGAGCAGACTTCAGTTTCAGCAGAACAATTCAGAGAGCACAATAGTCCCCAGCAAAGGCCAAGACCGGAAAGCAGGAAACCTGGTCTAAAGTTACTCGCCCAGGTGCATTTGAACTGAAGACAGGAGATCCCAGCAGGGTGGTGGAGGAAGACTCCCATGTTCCGGTGCACAATGTTGTTACGTTTCACGTGGTACAACTTAGTAAAACCAAACGTGCAAACCAGTTCTTTGTTTCTGATTCCTTTCAGGGGAATTGCATGCAAAGCAGATTGAAAGAAATACAAACTTCCATTCAGTTTGTCTATGAGCAGTGTTTCAGGGGAGGGGGGGATATATTATTTTTTTTTTAATAAACTATTTCAATTATTTAATTCTAAAAGTTAACTTAGCACAGAAATGAAGGCTTGTACAGCCTGTTTTATACTCACTGAATGGTGGAAGGAAGACGGTGGTTTTGCTAGATAAATGGGGGAAGAATTGGCCAGTTTGCTTTTTTTTTTTTTCTCCCAGGGTGTGGATTTTTTTAATATGAAACAAAATTCCTGTTCTGTGTGCCAAGGTATAAAGTTGAGAACTTAGATGAATGCAAGGAATTAATTTGTGTTGTGATAAATGTGTTTTAAAAGGTTGCACTATCTTAATGTTTTAAAAAAATATATTATGAGGGAACTGTTTTATGTGAAGTTATTCTATATGTTGTCTTTTCACCTGTGGAATAATGATAGAGCTCCAGAAGTAATCTGGAGGAGTTTCCCCCCCTATCCCTGGGTTTGCTAGAAAATGGGGACAGGACTTAGCCTAACATCTCTTGACTTTTACAAATCAAGAAATACAGGGACAGTTGTCTTTGCAATAATTTGCATTCAAATAACAGTGCATCAGTGAAGTGTCTTGGAAACTTTTGGATGGAAGAAGGCAAATATGAAATCCCAGCATTTTCCATCACTTAGGGTTTAGCTATTTTGCAGTGTAGACTATTTGTTTTGTAAATGGCAAAACAAAAAATCCCAGATGTGGTAATTTGTATTGATTCTAACTAAGTGCTGCCATTCTATTCCTTTTCATAATGCAGTATAGCCAGTACTTAACTGTTTTAGAGATTTTTGTCCTCACTGTAGCCTGAAATGTATTTAGTTACATATCATGACATTATGCAATAAATTGTTTGAAAATGCAGGGTGGGTTTTTTTTCCCCTGCAACGCTGTTAAAATACGTGAGACTGTTGTGCTTTTCGCTCTCCATTTCATCCTTTTAGATGCTGAAGTTCAGTCCTGGAAATCCATCCTGCTGAAGTGAAGGGGGACTTTGTATCTAAAACTCCCCGTGCTGTTTCTGCAGCAGCACCAAGAGCCTCCATGACAGTGGTGCCGGCTTCTGTGGCATCCCTGGCAGTGACATGGGAGCGCCAGTTATTCTCGCTGCAAACTCGTTTGCTCTGGGCCCTGTTGCAGAAACCCTTCTCCGTGTGTGTCATCTGTCTGACGCCAGCAGGACTGCGCTCGTGGGTAAAGATGACTCACATATTAACCAAGTGTCTGTAAGCCCTAGTTTTGCTATACTGGTCTGAAGAGTAGTTGGAAAATGTTACCTTGCCTGTATCGTCGCGTCTGGGGTATTCCTCCACTGGCTATTCCCATGTGGAAGCACACACAGTGCCAGAAGGTGGTTGACAAATGGTGATAGTGGCATCACAAGCACATGAAAAAGCACAAATTGCACTTAAAATGCATTTTGGAAATGGATTTAAAGTAAGAATCTTTAGAGTCTTAGCTTGAATAGTTTCTAATACATAGGTGTATATGTGTCATAGACCTTTCCACTTTAAAATCTTTCACTTTTTTTCTAATTTCCTAAGCCTCGTGCTTGGTTTCGGGCAGCAGCTGCTGAGTGCCCCGAGGGCATTGGGGAGGAGTGGAGGAGTACTGTGCCCTGGTCCCATGGCTGGAGGCTGAATTTCTGCAGGACTTCTGTACACCAGGGGCTCTGATAACTGAAGTGCATCTTTGATCTATGCAGAGTTTTAATGCCAAAACAGTGTGTGTATGTGTGTGTGTGTGTGTGTTTTATGGGCCTCAATGTAGATTTGTTTTCTTCATAAGATAATTTGATTTTATTCTAGTTCAGAAAATGTTTGTGTAACTGAATATGCAGCCCCATTTGTCTCTGTAATTGTTATTTTGGTCTGAGTCATGCCGGTAATGCAGAGTAAAGCTGCCTTTTAATGTATGTATTATTTGAAGGGAGAGATAGAGATCATGTGATGGGATTCACTTACTTATTTTCCACTCAGACCCATAGGACAGGTGTTTAGAAGATGACTAGGTGACGGTCAGTCAGCTAGGGCTCTCATCATGTCTGGTTCCTGGGAATAAAAGCTGTGAAATTAGATTTTTGCGAACAACCTATGAACATAATTCTTATAATTCAACCAAAAAAAACCCTGAAGACAAAACCAGCAAATGTTGGTTTTGGTCTTCAGTGACTTTTGTCACTTCATAAGCGAGCCTTTAAGCCAGAGAATGTGTGTGCCTACACAGATACTGTGCTGTTGCCTAAATGAGGATTATTTAGCCGAGAAGCCTTCAGGTGAAAACAGCTGGAACTCAGTTGTCATGGCAGAGCACACCTAGATGGGGCCCTGGGCTTGGGCTGGTTGAGTACCAACTTTTCCCCGTGTGCAAATCTCAGCAAAGCAAGCCTTGAAGTTGCCTTCAAAGTCACCTCTTGGAAATGTACTTTCTTTGAAGATAGCCCTTTGCCCTCTTTTGCCATCTCTGCATGCCAGTGGTTTTATGCACTTCCCATTAACATTGTCCAGTACGCTGTCTCTTGATTTTTCTTGGCTGAGAAAATTTTTCTTTGCATGAAAAATGTAACCTGTTCCAGTTTCTTGTAGAAAAGATTAGTTTAAAAATAACTTAGTATTTGCTTACCTGATAGTTGCATTTCCTTTTGCATCTTATCATTCTCATTGTAAAATCATAGAATATGCTGGGTTGGAAGGACACCCATCAGGATCATCGAGTCCAACTCCTGGCCCTGCATGGGGCACCCCAAGAATCCCACCATGTGCCTGAGAGCGTGTCCAAACGCTTCTTGAACTTAGTCAGGCTTGTTGCTGTGACCACTGCCCTGGGGAGCCCTTTCCAGTGCCCAACCACCCTCTGGGTGAAAAACGTTTCCTTGATATTCAACCTAAACCTCCCCTGACTCGGTTTCATGCCATTTCATCAGGTCCTGTCACTGGTCACGAGAGTGAAGAGTGCCTGCCCCTCTGCATCCCCTCATGAGGATGCTGAAGACTGCAATGAGGTCTCCCCTCAGTCTCCTCCAGGCTGAACAGCTGCTCCTCATACGGCTTCCCCTTAAGACCCTTCACCATCTTTGTGGCCCTCCTTTGAATACTCTCTAATAGCTTAATGTCGTATTCTGCTTTTCCAGATGTAATGTACAGACACTATACCTCTCAGCTCTGGAAGTGTAGTCACTTGTTGACTTGCTATAGGTGAGCTTGCAACCTGCTACTTCTGTTTTGGGGCCTCTTGTATTATAGGAGTAAATATGCTATTTTCTGATGAATATTAGTGCTCTCCAGTAGGAGGGCTGTCAATAATGTAACATTGGATCAGTCTGTTTTTCTATCATTTCTTCTGTTGCAGTGGGAGAGAATCTGCGCTTGCTAACAGAACAGAATGGTAGAAGAAATACCAGAATTAGATAGCACCATTGATCTTTACGGGCTTAGAAATTGGAGAGCTCTGAAGATAGGTAATTCTATGAAGCATTTATGGAAGATGCCCTTTGAAAATACCCAGAATTAATTGAGGGCATTCCAGAGCCACTCAAATGAAACTTTGTATAAATTATAAAGATTTCTGCAAACATTGTAGTATTAATTGTGTAGATTTTACCTCCATACAGATGTTTTGGTTTATGTGTCTCATGCACAAAACCTACATAATATGTGTGTGGAGTTTTCTGTGTGATGGATCATATTTGCCTGAATTCTGGTTGCACCTTCTGACTTTTGCCCACTAAACTGCGTTCCCAAAATTCAGTACAATGATGTCCCTACTTTAGAAATGTTCAGGTTAAAAGATTATTTTTTCTTTTAAATGTGCTTTTATGAAATAAAGCGTTGTGACCTCTATTCTACTGTAAAGGTTAATTTTTCTCTTATGTGGCTTGGCATGGCTCCCTTCTTGGTGCTAAATATGCCCCATCTTTGGTGTTTTCATATGATCTTTCAGGGCTAGAAAAGGCAGGAGGTTTAGCAACAGAACAAAAAGGTTTCTCTCCCAGTTTACCAATGGAGCACTCAGCACTTAGCTCTAATTCTGTATATATGTTTAGCACAGTTGTGGTTGGGTTTGTCTCAGTGCTGTACAAGCAGACTATATGTATGTGATGCTGCTTAAAAGGTGTGAGTGAGGGTTGTGAAAAGTGGTACCCAGCCAGTGTTCAGATCCCTTTCCTGTAGTGTGTGGCATGTGCAGAATTCATGGTACTTTGCATAGTAGGATGTTTTTGTCAGGGAGGATCTACTTAAGTTACTCCTGGTCTTGTCACTGATGAACTCTGCACTAGTCTCAGTCTGATGCGACTTTATTACAGTATGATTTTTCCTTTTAAGTATGAAAAGTCAAACACATGCCTCATGTACAAGTTTTTGGTGGCTACTGAGGAAGATATTTGCATTCCTGCAGTCGTGGAATCTGCAGGAACCATGGGGTCAAGCTGTGTTTCATTTGGCTCTCTGTTATTGCTTGCCCATTTCTCCCACCAGTTTGTCCCAGTTGGAAGCTGCTTCTCTTATGCCAAATCTCTGAGTGTTCATATTGCAGACCTGACATTTTTTAAAAACTGTCACTGAGATTTTGTGTTTTCTTCTGTGAATGTGGTGCAGGGAAGGGTAAGGAGTGAAATTGTTTATCAAGGAATGCACTTTGCAATAGGGAAGAAAGCCTTGTCCTGCTGGAGAGTCCCATGTGTAGGTGTCTGAAACAGTACTATCTGAGGCAGTTGTTTCTAACCCTGCAAGGTAGTGAGGTATTGGATTTTAAAACTGACACTCTGATCTGTAAGAAATGTTTGAATGGTTTGGAGAAGATTGATTGCTAACCTTTTTCTGACTCTCGAGTCCTGAATGTTCATGTAACTGAGGTAACCTGATTTTGTATGCAAAGAAAAAAGCGTGCTGTTAAAAATAGATATGCTCCAAAATTTTTCTTTGCTTCCCCCCCCCTCACTTTCCCCAAGGATAAACAATAGGCTTGCTGGCACATTTGAAAGTATTTAAAGTATTTGGAATTATTCACAAGTTCTCTCTGGTTGTTATCATTAAATCATGTCCATGCATATGTGTGTGTATACATACATATCTGCATGCAAACTTGTCCCCTTGATGATCTCTGTACTAGTTGCTATTCCATAATCACTTTCCAGAAGTGCTTAATGGCTACATGATGTGCTCTCAGGAATGACCACAGGTCATTTATCTAACTGCTGGAAGCATGAAGAATATCTGCTTTTCAGTCCTATAAATGTCATGACCTATGTTTTTATCAGTAGCAGAGTTTCTGCTGCACCAGTTCTTGCCTGTCACCTGGTGCTCTAGTGCATCTTCCATCCAACAGCTGTTTGCTTTTGGGTGAGCTTCAAAAAGTCCTCGTGCTTTGTGATAGCGCTAATGTAGACCTCATGTATTGATGTACAGGAAGGAAATGTACTTAATGTAGTCTAAATCTCAGAAGCATGTTTTTTCAAACCTAGCTGATGCTGAGAACTGAGTGATCCTTCTGTACAGTGGGTTCAGATGAAGGCTGTCTTTTGATTACGTCTTTGTTTTTTAGATAAAGGCTGTTGCACATAGTTTAATTACACATATCTGGTCTTTTCCTGCACTGTGTGGCCTGCTTGCCAACCACTGCAATTACAACTTTTCTCCTAAACTAGCCCCAAATGTATCAATCATTTCAATCCCTGGAAACAGAGACTCTTACTGAGTTCTCCGAGACCTGTTGAGGCCTTTTAGAGCATGGAGAAGTCACTTGTGAGGGTGTGTTGAACTTAGAGAGTTTTCCTGTCTGAAGACTGTTCCACATGTTTTGTTGGGAAATTCAAGTTTTGAGACTGTGTCGACTGAAAATATTGGTTGGTAAGATTTATTTTTTTTATACTTAATATATTGTTTGCCAGCCTGTGCTCAGT